ATGCAATTATCTGTATTCGAATACAATATACAAGTAAAACTTGTATCGTCAATCATCTTTTCATAGTATGTAGATTGAAATAAATATTATAAAACATTATTATTATTTTTATTATTATCTTACCCCCGCTAGCATCAGCAGAGCTGCCGCTCCAACGCATTTCTTGTCTGTGAGGTATATTAATTTTTAGTGTTGGAGCATCTGTTTGCTCTGTGTTCCAACGATAATCTCCAAGAGAAGATTTGGTATCCTCGTATTCTTGTTGACAAAGCTTTCTTATCAGTAGATGATTTGAAAGGCAGCGTTCCATTGTTGATTCGCCAAGCAAACGCAAAAATGGTGAGTAAGATTGAAGTGCTAAAGACTGGTCAAATACTTTGCAAATCTCAGCTATAGCCTGATAATAAGAAAAATATTTTCTTGAAAACCAAATTTGTACAAACATGTTAGTCAAAATGTGATTTACCTTGGATTGTGCATCACTCTCATTGGATCTTTCCTGCTCGATCTGTGAAATTTGTTCAAAATTAATATCTTGCTCAGGATCATCAGCTCCTTCTGAAGCATCCTAAAATATGCCAAATTAGCTTTTGCAGAAAAAAACACCAAATAAAATAATTTGCCTGCAACTTACAGTAGTAGAATTATCTCTTGATGGAGTATTCTTTGAACTTTGTGAATTATCAAAAGTTTTGTTGAATATCATAAAATACCTGCAATAATATTTAAGTAAAATGATAACAAAGAATAAATCCTTCCTACTTTTTACAAACTAACAAACGCCAATTATATACATAAAATTATAAATAAGCATATTAATACCTCTGCAGACCAGGTACACAAACATGCTCTCTAGTCATTTCTGGTCCAATTCGTTCCGCCAAAGAAAAAATGGATCGCAAACATTTTCCGGCTAAAGCTCGACGGGCCACATGCCCCCCTGGAAATGCGTTCTTTATTGATGATAAAACTCTTATTGATGGTAGTATTATTGATTTCAGTAGCACATCCTAAAATACAAACAAAAGACATTTTTTATATAGATGACTGCATTGTTATGAGGCGAGATGTTCAATTCTAAAATTCTAACATTTTACCTAACATTTGCAAAAAAACATCTGTATAATGTATAATGTATTTTCTTTAATTTCTTTATTTTACAATTGACCTTTTTCGATAGAAATTAAGATTTAGCAATCTAGATAAAATTTTCAACTGTTTATTTCAAATCATTCATTTTGTGGTACTCTCACACCATGGACCTGCCTTCGGGCAGACTACTATTAACTTCCCGTAGGGTAAGTTATAGTAATCGCAAAAAAATCGAAAATGAAAATTTTTATATATCTTTACGTTTCAGAGGTTTCTGAATATTTTGGCATACCTTAGAAAAAATGGATGTATGTGTGTGTGTGTGTGTGTGTGCGTAGTATGTATGTGTGTGCGGATACAAATTTTCGTCGACGATTTCGGGAACACGGATGAAGCAATTTGAATAATTTAAAAAACATTCGACCCGTATTGATAAGGAGACGTGCTGATTAGTTTTTGGCGGAGGTAGGTCTAGCCGTTCCGAAGATATGAGACAAAAAGTGCCAAAAACGGTACCTCAGTTTTTAATAGAACGGAGCGTCCGATTTTAATAATTCAAAAAACATTTTACTTGTATTGACAAGATGAAGATTTGATCAAATTTTTATAAGGGCAGGGTTTAGCGGTTTCGAAGATATAACAAAAAAAGTAAAAAAAATCGGCCATTTGGCGGTCAAAAATGATCATTAGACATATGCACATCAAATTATCAGATATTTTATAGAGATTTTAACTATAATTATAAATTTTGTTTACATTCCTATGGGTTCCGTACCAATGTTTACCCGTTAGGCAGCGACGCGGCGCTTACGCGCTTTATATTTAGTCTTAAAGCAGTACGATTGCTTTGAAAAAAAAGTTCAGATCTTCCAACATATGTCAAAATTAATTTTTTTCAAAAAAAAAAAGATTTAAAAAAAAAAAAATTAAATAGTTTTTTTTTTCAATTTTTTTTTTAAAAAAAAGTAGTTTTTTGTCAAATTTATAGTTTCTCAAAAATCTTATTTTTTCGAAGTAATTTTTTTTCAAAAATGTTAATCGTTTTTAAAAAAAAAAATAATAATTTTTGGTACGGGAAGTTCCAGCAATTTGCCTTAAGGCACGATGCCTTAATTGCCTTAAGACAGAATTCCACTTACAGCTAGTTATAATTATTATTATCAACAAAATATCAAAAAAATCGGTTTACATACAAACACACACCTTTCTCAAACATATTATCATTCAATTTAAAATTACTTGAAATGTCTGAAAAACAAAAAAATAGCAAAAATTTTCTGGTAAAAAACAAATTTCTGTTTCGAGAAGTTAATAAACATGTTGCTTTAAATACCTGAAGTAAGTCCATAACCGTCCTATCACTCAGATAAGGCAAGGAACATCTGGCTAACTGGAGACTGGCAATTAATCCAGCCTGCAGGCTAGGAGTCAACTTGCTGCGTCTGCATAGTGAAACCAGTTCCGCCGCATGTGGCAAATACTGTACACATATGAAATGAGGACCATAAAGGACTGTAAAAGTAATATCAATCAATATTGAATACCTAGACAGGATTTAAAATAGTTTACAAACCAGCGATAGAAAGTAGACAATCCATAACTCTTTGTGCATACTCATCTCCTGCAATTTCAATATCTGCCTTGTCGCACAAACATTTTTTATCATGAGAAACGTCATGCCTACAGCATGATCTATCTTTAGGTGTTGAATCTAAATCGTGTGATTTTTGAACTAAAGATTCCTCTCCAAGATAGCACAAAGAGAGCATTTTCAACAGGTTTCTACTAAGGTATCTAGCAGTCAGAACAGGTCCAAGTCTGAAAGTAAGCAATGACATCAGCCAAGTTCTGCAAATAATAAAATAATCATTATGAACAAACCTATGCGCCAGCCAGATTAAACTATCTGAGCTCATATCAGAAATTCTAGAATTACGATTTGAACCACTTGATCGTGATTTTCTGGATCTAGTTCTTTTAAAACCAGATTCAGTCTCTTCGCTTTTCAACTTTTCATTATCAATTTTCTTCTCATCTGCTATGGCTTCACTAATGCTCTCTGTGATAATTAAAGTAATGTCGGTAGCATTGTTGCCGCGTTCTTCAGACAATTCTTCATGAAGATTTTTAAAATCTCCAAAATGCTCTTGCTTGAATTTATCATCCAGAAAATCAGCTCCATTGTCATTTTCTTCTGTGGCTTCCTCTGCTTGAGAATGATTTAGACGTAAATCTAAAACACTCTCAGATTCTGAATCTTGAATAAATTTCTGATGTTTATCCTCATCAAAGGTAAATAAGTCTTGCTCATCAATATATTTTTCTACAGGTTTATTTATAGATTCCATTGGTCTTAAAGTTTTTTTGACAGAACTCTTGCGATGAATATGTTTTGAAGTATATTCTTCTTGCTCTATGTCCCTACATCCACCAACTGCTTCAATCAAACGTGTAGAAAAGTTATCCAAAAAACATTTAAGGCCAAATCTAACTATTAATTTCAATAAAAAGCTATGGTGATACAGTTTCACTGATTTTTTTGTGCGATAGACAGATGATAAATTCTTTTCTTCTTCCCAGTCATGCTGTTCATACAATTTCAGAATTGGATCCAGAAGTTGATCTATAGTATCTTGTACTCCTAAAGATTTCGCAATTGGATCAAACAAATACCATGCAGATAATGTGGCAGTGTCTGGATTATGAAGTAAATCTTTGAAAAATGGTAAGAGTAAATCCACATTGTTAAACTGTTCAAAAGCACTTATATCCAACAACCACTCAATTTTAGCAGCAACTGTTTTTACCTAAATTAAATTGCATCACCATGTTAGAAAATCAAAAATTATGTTACAACTATTCTATGTTATAAATCCTTATTAAAATTCATCTAAAGCTTCTGATTAATAAATCTGCCTGTACCATAACTTCTTGAATTGTATACGCAAATAAATCAGTTGCAGCTCAAAATTAAATTAATTTATATAGGAATTATATAACCTTTTATTGGACGTCTTGAACAACTATAGAGTGCGGTGGAAAGGGGGCCACGTTTTTATCTTTGGTTGTAAAATGGTTAAAAATGAAAATAATTTCTTTTTTTTCAGTTGCAAGGGTATTCAAAAAAGCAACCTTTTATCATATTTCTATTTTTGAATGCCAAAAAAAGTGTATTTACCGTGTTTTTCGAAAATGTGGAGAGAAGTGGGCCACCCAAATTTATATCTGAAAAATAACTAAATAAGACATTCGATAATTGATAAAACACTTTACTGTGCAAAAGACGGCATTACGCAAGTGGCCCGTGGTTGTCCACAAATAGTGGCCCACTTCCACAAACGCTTTTTTTTTGCATATGCAAAAACACAATGTAAACAATCGGCAAAAATCACTTTGTATTTCAAAGATTATATGCCTATATAATATTTTATATTAATCTTATATTTTTCTCATAACAATTCGATGGCAAATCACGTAAGAGCGTACGACGGTAAAAAATTTGTAAACGAAATTCTTAGCGCGTTTCTCTGTACAGTGCGAGAGTAGGTTTATAACGTCCAAATGCTTTTTAAAATTAAGCAAGTATCTAAATATGATAAACATGTGCGCTAGGGTTTGTCGGTTTTCAAAAACCGGTTTTAAAAACCGGTTTTTTGGCAAAAATTTTGGAATTCGAAAACCGGTTTTTTAGTGAAAAAAGTCGGTTTTCACTGCATAAATGGAAAATGACAAATATAGCCAAATATAAAAGATAGATGAAAGCGTTTTGATTCTTGAAATCATGTCGGTTCAATAGCATTTGATATCTTATCAGTCTACAATGGTCTGAAAGGTATTTTTTTTTATTAATTTAGATTTTTATACCAGTGTACATTAAATTAAATCAGTGTGACTTCTTCTTGAAGAAGTAACTTCATGTACTCAAACTTTGAAAAAAAAGAGTGTTAAACTCTAGAAGCCACAAATTAAAGAACAAAAAACTTAGAATTATTATATCAGGTTTTAAAAACAATTAAGCATAATTTGGTCGCAAGTATAAGAATATTTTCAGGAAATTTTGTGAGGACAGGTCTAAGAAGCAATTTGATAGACGTTCTCAGTTTTTTGAAATCATATTTCATTAAACAGAAATACAATTAGAGTGTTTAAAATTAATTAATTAAAATTGCTCAGAACAGGCGATACCCGAGTTTAGCTTAATTGCTTTTAAAATTAAAATAGATATTAACAAGTATGTATCAACATGTATCTAATATTTTTATTTTTTTTTTAATTCAATGAATATTTTTTATTTAAAAATATATTGTTTTTATTTATTAGAAAATTTTCCTTTCACTGTCATAAAAATTTTCATTCTTATATGTGAAAATGATGCATGAATAATGAATAATTATTTTCAAAGTTATTTAATCAAGATAAACTATTATTTTTTAGTTTTATTAATTAAAATTAAAATAATTTTGTTTACTATCTGTAAAATTGAATAATAAATTAATTCAGTCAATTACTGCTCTAAATTACACTAAATATGCGGATAAATTATAGAATATTCGAGCAAAAATTTATTTTCTATATAAAATTCGAAAACCGGTTAAAACCGGTTTTTTGGTAAAATTAAAATTCGAAAACCGGTTTTCTGAAATGTCGGTTTTTGTATAAACCCTAATGTGCGCGGTTCGACGTACATGTCACAAGTCTTAAGGTTATTCGGGTGGCCCACGTCTGTCCCCCGCACCATACATATTTGCATAAAATATAAATCAATCAAATAATATAATACTTTTCATTATAAAAGCATTAGGTAAATCAGATTCATGTGATTTATACCACTATGCAAAATAGAAACTGTAAATCACCTTGCATTCTGAAATCTTCTTCACAAAACTCTGTCTAGTATACTTCATGTTCTCAAACTTATCACAATCCTGTCCGTCGCATCTAGAAAAGCACATTATTTCTAAATAAGACAATGACCTATCAAATTCTATGAGTGCACTGAGCATTCCATGCAGAGCTGGGTAGCTACGTGGAAATGGAAACGCTGCACCTCCCAACAAAGGCTGCAGCAATTGATGAGCTGATGGCGGAGGTAACCCTTTCTCAGTAACAGTTGGATACTTAAACCCAGAAAGGCCAGAATTATCTGCAAAGCAATTGCAATTTTAGTCAATTAGGGAAAAAAGACAAATCTAACATAATGTTTCAAGATAAAGTTTTGGTATGAAAACACAAGTTTAAATTATCCACTTATTACGTTTACTAAAAAAATCAATGGCAATGCAATCGAATTATTCCCCTTATTTTGATAAAGGCACTTTACATGTGTGTGCGTGTGTGTGTGTGTGTGTATGCGTAGTATGTATGTGTGTGCGGATACAAATTTTCGTCGACGATTTCGGGAACACGGATGAAGCAATTTGAATAATTTAAAAAACATTCTATCCGTATTGATAAGGAGACGTGCTGATTAGTTTTTGGCGGAGGTAGGTCTAGCCGTTCCGAAGATATGGGGCAAAAAGTGTCAAAAACGGTACCTCAGTTTTTAATAGAACGGAGTGTCCGATTTTAATAATTCAAAAAACATTTTACTTGTATTGACAAGATGAAGATTTGATCAAATTTTTGTAAGGGCAGGTTTAGCGGTTTCGGAGATTTAACGAAAAAAGTAAAAAAATGCCATTTGGCGGTCAAAAATGATCATTAGATATATGCACATCAAATTATCAGATATTTTATAGAGATTTTAACAATAAGTATAAATTTTGTTTGCATTCCTATGAGTTCCGTACCAATGTTTACCCGTTAGACAGCGACGCGGCGCTTACGCGCTTTATATTTCATCTCTATGCATTTAAAGCAGTACGATTGCTTTGAAAAAAAAGTTCAGATCTTCCAACATATGTCAAAATAAAGAAAACTTTTTTTTTTCAAAAAAAAAGATTTAAAAAAAAATAATTTAAATAATTTTTTTTTTCAAAAAAAAGTAATTTTTTGTCAAATTTATAGTTTCTCAAAAATCTTATTTTTTCGAAGTAATTTTTTTTCAAAAATGTTCGTTTTTAAAAAAAATAATAATTTTTGGTACGGGAAGTTCTAGCAATTTGCCTTAAGGCATGATGCCCTAATTGCCTTAAGACAGAATTCCACTTACAGCTAGTTAAAAGTCATATGATAAGTATTCAAACCACACATATACATGAAGCGAGTTAAATTGTTGAGAAAACATAAAATTAATGTTGTAAGTGGCATTTTGCCTAGATAAAAGCTGCATAAACTTTCCGACATGTGTAAATAATCGACTTAATCTATAAAAAGTCAATGTACTAATTTATGAGTGATGAAGTTGGTGTAGAGAATTATAATGCGATTATTCGATTTTGTAAAACTATTTTATAACATATTAGCGGTACCCGATTACGCGTTTCTGTGTTATTAATATATAAATATGAATCTAAACAAAAATGCGATTCTGTTACATCTAGTTATCAAGATGAATAATAGCGCTGATATCTTTCATGATTGATTGTAAAGCTGTATTAGAGGTATCTTTGAGGAAAATATCCCATTCAGCATCCCAATATGTAATATAAACTTATAAGCATATCAGCAGTAATTAAACTGTAAAAACTCTACAATATAAATCACAGTAGATAACACATATTAAACAACCAACAATTAATATATGTTCAGAAAAATTCTTTGTTATTGCCTAAATATAGATATATCTTTTTCTAAAAAAAGACCATCTGTCCCCGTTCACTTCATAGAAGGCAAACACGGGTTTAGCCAAACTAAGAGCCCAATTATTACCCAATTCCAAATACAAATTTCATGAGCCTTTTCTACAAAGATTATACTAAATAATCATCAGTAGAGTTGGGATAACTATAGTGCAGTAAACGGAGCGTTTTAGGTCTGAATTTTTTTACTGTGCTCCGAATTGAATGAAATTTTGGAATTAGGTTCATCTTACCCTCAAGTTCAAAAGTGAAAACAGTTCGGGTTGCGCCATCACCCCCCGGAGGGATGACACCCCCTCTCAATTACATTTTTTCAAAATAACGTCGGAAATCGATAGAAGAACTAATTATAAGAAAAAAATGTTTCTCATAGTTTTTCAAAAAAACTAATACTTTTCAAGTTACAAGCCACTAAAAATTCATATATTATTGGCGTTTTTCTTCGTTTTTTTGCAAATATCTCCTAAAATATACATTTTAACAAAAATCATGTAATGAACAAAATAATGTCAATAAAAATCTTAATAAATCGGTATTACATAAAGTGTTCTAGGAAAAATATTAAGCAAGATTTAAAAGAGCAAAGTCGTTTTTTATTTCGTTCAAGATTTAATTTATAGCAGTTTGTATTTCAAATTAGAATAAGTCAGTGTATTTTCAAGTGTTGTTACTTTTTGATTGTAAACAATTATATATTTTTATTTAGACGCACAACGTCTAAAAATTGTTGTATTTAAAGCCATCTAGTGTCGAGGTTTTACATTTTATGCATTTTGGTGAAATTGGGTTTTATAGTGCTCAACATAAGCTTTAAAATGAGTGCTGTTACAAGTTTTTTACGTGTAAAATGAGGGAGCTATCATGCAAATAAGAAGCATATACGAAGTTTTTTTCTTTTAAATCATGTGGTTTAATGAGCGCTATTTCCACCAGAATTAAAGTAATTTACATTACATCTAGAATTCACTTCATTATATAAGGTTGTCAATTATCTCCCTTCCGCCTTTTTGTATTATAAACCAAGAGCAAAAAAGCGGAAGGGAGATATTTGACAACCTAATAGATATCTTGATGGATTCTAGCATATTCACTACTTTAGTACAAACTATTTTCAGAAAACTCACAATTTTATAAAAACTTTTTTTTGAGGGTAAGATGAACCTAATTCCAAAATTTCATTCAATTCGGAGCACAGTAAAAAAATTCAGAGGTTATACCCATTTTTCCTCTCCGTTTACTGCACTACTAATAATAACTATTAATTTAATTTATCTCTTTGTTAGTTAAAAATTAACCATGCGTATCATAAAACAATTAAATAACGTAAATAAAGTGAACCTTTTTACCTCCAGACCTTTAAGCCCGGCTCAACTCTATCTTTATTTTCATTTTTATATTTACATTTACTTTACTTTACATTTATTTTAACAAAATGTCTATCTAATGAAAAAAAATAAAAAAATCATTTTCAAAAAATTAAAAAAATTGTTAGAGGTGATCAAGCCGTAATGAAAATAAAACACATAATAAAAATTTAAGCGTTTTCATTAACTTTGAAAAATCTAAAATTAAATTAATAGTTATTATTATAGTTATTGGAAAGTTAAAAAATTGTATTTTTTGGTAGTTTAAAATATTATGTAAGAATGTAAGTAAATATTTATATATTTTTGTTACCCAAGTTATCCAATTGTAATAATAATTTCACAGCACCAGCTACAGAAGAAGGAAGCCCAGCATCTGAATACAGTATTGATATACAATTTCGTAGCCTACTATCAAAGTTGGATGTAGTACCAAATGGGCGTAAACGCTTAGCATGAAACATCTCGACAATTAAACAACCCAATATTTGCATCTCCCGCAAACGTCTCCCTGCAACTATCTGCTTGTAGTTTGGTTTTGATTCGTGCTGAGTTTCTTTTAAACAAAACATATACATGAATATATAATTTTGTATTAAAAATATTCAAAAATTCAAACTTACTTTCAGTGTTATTACAAGGTTTTGAATAATTTGAACCATTGTCTATCTCCATTGTCATCTTTGCATGTTCTTCCTTGTTGCATTCAACACTTATATCATTATCATTTAATAATACTTTTGAAGTAAAAGTTTCTAGATTTTCCAAAGCAATGAGTTGTGAAACAGGATTGTATTCTTTAGGCAGATATAAAATAGTTGTTGATTTAGGATATGTATTATAATTGCTTCTTTCATCGGAACATTGAGATGATAGAGATTTTTGAGATGACTGCGATGGGCTATTATGCATTCTGTTTTGTGAGCAAATATCTTGTTCCCGGCAACATGAGGTCAGATCTTCTGAACTGCGAGTTAGCCTTGGAGGGACTAAATGCCCTGAAAATTATTTGAATAAATATAAACCCACATTTGATAGATATTCACAAAATATTAAACAAATAATGTTATTGACTTCTATCTGCATTTGTGTACATCCTAGGTGGAAGTTTTCCATTAAACGGTCCAGAAATAAATTTGGCGGGATGAGGGTAATCAAATAATTGCACAACACCATTTTTACTAAGAAAGTAGTTATTTTCACATGACATCAGACAAACATTTTTTGCTTTTATTGCAGCTTGTCCTGCTAGTCTAAAATATTAAATAAAAAAATAAAGAAATAGATACTATCATTTTCTTAATTATTGATTCATATAATTCTATAGCATAAGAACACGTTCCAAGTATTATTTGCACAAATAGTGTAGAATCTACACTGTAGATTATAAATTATTACTAGGGAATGCAATACCGGTATACCGAATTACCGGTAAACCGCCCGATTTTTCGGCGGTATTTTTACCGGTATATACCTCAAAAATACCGGTATTTTCGGTATTTTTACATAAGCGCTATTTGATAATACATTAAAGTTTAAATTTCTTGGAACAAATTTATCTTTAAATAACATAATCGCATAAACAGCTATATCTTCAAGTGATTCTATAAGATAAACAAATGTCAAATATTATCTCAACTCATCATTAAACTGAATATTGCTTTACTAAGGGCTACATATCGTGTTACAATAAATAGAATTGGACTGATAGATAATGATGTTTGTTTCATCTTATGTAAAAATGTAACAGTTTTTTAAGTGATAATTGCGCCAAAACATTTTATATCATACAGATTACCCCTGCGTGATCTTTATTTTTTTCTAACTTTAATAATTATGATAATTACTAAATATTTTTGCTTCTTATTACAATTATAAAATATTATTTTTCGAAAACGTTTTGAAGTTTGAAGATACTATGGAAGCATCACATTATTTTAAATAACAATACTCAACAATTATAGAAACTTATTATTTATCTCAACAAAGTATCCGATCTTGAATTAGTGTAGGAAAAATACTTTATTAAAGTCTTTAAAATAGTGGAAATTATGCTAATTTAACACATCGGATACAGACAATACAGTTTATTATAATAATGTAATATGATCTTTTATGAGTTTTTGGTCTTTCTTACTCATACGTTTAATTTTGGTGAAAAAAACTCAATATACTCGATAGTGATAATGAATTAATTAAATTGGATTTAATTTTGTTAAATTATTATTTAAAAAAAAAAAATTGTTTTATTTTATTGTTTTCATTATTTAGTTGAATATAGTTGTAGTTGTATGTACATTTTTTTATATTTGAACTAGTAACTTTCAATTTTGTTTACGTTTGTTTAAGATAATAAAAATACCGGTAATTTACCGGTATTCAGGTTTTAAAATGAAAAATCACCGAAATACCCGTATTGAAATTTTCCATCGGTATTGCATTCCCTAATTATTACTATTCACATAAAATTAATTTTAAAACTTACTTGTATCCAAATGTTAAATCAATCCAATGATGTAATCTTTCAGATACATATTGGCTTTCTAAGGCCTCCCGATGTCTTGCAATGAAATCTTCAGCACAAGTGGCCCAAGCAGGCAAAGCCAGATCAGGTAAGTCTTCATGAATTGTTTTGAAAACAGTAGGATCTGAATAAAATTCTGGAATGCATTCTTCGGGAGACCATTGTTGTAGCCTGGAAAAAATATACCACAATTAAATTTTCCATTGATTAATAATGATTGAGTCTGTTAATTCATATTAGTCAATTGAAGTAGAATAATTCGGTTACGTCATATTAGTCGATTGATTTCGGGCGATTGAGTTTAGTCATTTCAGTCGATTGAAGTCGAATGATTCGGTTAAGTCGTATTAATCCATTGAAGTCAAATGACGTATAAGTCGATTAACTCATATGGGTCGTATTAAAATCAAATAATTTATATTTGAATTCATCACATTTTTTAAGTAAAACTTCTTTAGGCGCGACTAGGGTGTAAATCTGTGAGAATGCAACGGAAATTGCGTGACGCTCGAACTGTACATCATTCGCTCTCGGTAAAATCATTTCAATCCTGGTCGATTAGTCGCCGTGTATGTGAATAGAGATCTGTCGTTGTATGCGAACCGGAATCAACGTTGTATGCGTGCCGATATCATAAGGAAATCGGCATAGATAAGTAAACATTTTAAAGTTACATCGTAGCACAAATTTTGATTTAATGAAAAATGACTGAATCAGAAGAATATCTAACCCTGTTCCTTGAAAATAATAAAACAAATTAAACATTTGTGCCGTGTACTAAACGTAAGTTTTTTGATTAGAAATTATTTCTATATTATTCGTAATTTCTATAAATCTTTTAAAATATTTTTTAGGCAAGATAGATATTACAGCTGTTCAAAGAATAAAATTATATCGCCAGCGAAAAAGTAAAAAAAATACAAGCAGTCAATGAATGTATGTTAATTTTAATTATATGAAATACATGATGAGTTGCAAAAACAATATTTGTTTAGGTGTTGTTTAACATAACCCACTGTGTAAACAAATATTATAAAAGTTATTAATCAGCAATTACTTCATTTCTCTATAAAGGTTCATTTCTAAATGCTAATTACAATGACAAACCGATCATGTCATATTTGAAGTATGACTTATATACATTATTGTTTTTAAATATTACACATATTTTTAATGCTATTATAAATATATAATTTATAATTTATCATTATATAAATGTGTATAAAGGTTGAAATGTGTACATCACGAGTGTTACCATATTACTAATAAACATCAAAATTGTTATATAATGTATTTATTTTTACTTAAATGCCATCTTGTACAGTAGCAAAAAAGTTTTAATCGCGAACCTTACGCGCATTTTTTTATTATATTTATTAAAATATTCTCACATATTGTGTCTTAAACAATCAAATTATCTGGTGTAAGAGATCACAGTAAATATTTCTCGGCTTGATACAAGATGATTTGAAACGAGTAAAATCTAATTCGAACCGGGTTGTCGTTAATATCGTATTTTGAATAATTCAAATCACTTGTTTTAACTTGTCACATAACTAATAAAGATATTTTACCTTTGTATAGAGTTGGGATATTCAGCAGGAACCCAGAGTGGCCTGACATGTTTTGTTAATACTGAACGATTTGTTCTTCGTGCCATATATACATAGTAAGTAATATCAGATAACACATCTGAAATATGATGTGGTATCTGCGGTACATCATCTGATTTTGTAGTTGACTGAGAATATGTAAGATCTAACTGATGATCACCTTTTAGAAAATATTTACTGATTATAAAATCAAATTCAACACAATACATCAAAATGTAACATCAATTAAAATTTATTAATAAGTTACCTTTATTAAGCCTATATTTAGATTTTGTTAAGTCTCTCCAGTTACTTCCCGATTTTGATGAGAAGTCTGTTACCCAAGGCATTACATGATGATTACCAGGCTCACCTTTCCGTCGGCCAGCCAGTACATTTAATACAGTTAAATAATCAAAGTTACTAATTTGTCCATTGCACCACTTTTTTGTTATAGATTTCAAACAATTTGAGCACACACAGTTGCTTTTGTAGAAATTTGCATCTTTTTTCGGTTCAGATAATTGATCAATTTTGTGAAGAATTTCATTTAAGTTATCATCTAATTTTGGTATTACTTGGATCCATAAGTTTTCATCTAAATATATATCTTCTAATAATATATCTCCTAAAAATATTTTTTTTATTATTTTTAATAATTGCAATACCTCATTGTAAAATATGCTGCCTGCATATATTAAAATTTATATTAAAAATAGTTCAATTCTAAAAATGTGTTCTTTGGAGCTATCATGGAATTATGCCAGTATCTCAAATTTGTCAAAGAATTAGGGACAAACTCGTGGTTCAGTAAAATGACGGCTATTTCTAAAAATAAAATTCTACAATTCATAATTATTTTCTCTAATAATCTTACAAATCTAATTTAAAAAGCAGAACAGCTTAATTCTTTCACTTTCCTATTTTTTGAAAAATCATCTTTAAAGTCTAATGATTCCTAGCATATCTTAATATGGTATATTTACCATAATTAATAAATAAATAATTAAATAAAATTATATAAATATTTATGTAAATATATATATATATATATATATATATATATATATTGTAGAGTTTCGAACAAGAATCCAAAAGTAATAAAAAACAATAAAAGTTTTTTGAAAAATAATTTCTTTATATATATATATATATATATATATATATATATATATATATAAGATTTAGATTTTTTTGCTCGACGTTGAGACATATCTTAAATGTTGATTTTCAGCCAATCGTCGAAATAAAAGAAAACAAATAAATAATGAAATTCATATGTTTTGACACGAATTGTGTGTCATCATTCAGAAACTCTTTTTGAAATGTTTGTTAATACATTATCTAAAAGAATTTTTACAAAGTTTAAAAATATTAAAATTTAAAACATATTATAGATTGAAAGATAAAATGACAAGTAAAAAATTGATGCATACCACACCAGGAAAAAAATAAAAAAAAAAATTTTTGTTAACTAACATATAGAAAATAAACAATATAAAGTAAACATTTTTTTCGGTTTTAAATTTAAACTGAAGATTTGCGTAATATAAGTTCTGAGCAAAGAACTGAACGTATCGGATGAAAAAAGACAAAGGCAAATGAAGGATGTTGTGGAGAAGATAGTTAAACAGTGGGGGCACAATTTGAGAAAATAAAAATATAAAAACATAAAATCAAATAGACTATGAAAAACACAAGAGTCAAAGATTTGAAAAACTATTTTATAAAAATTATTAATATTATGTACTAACAGAGCAGAATTTCGTTTATTAACACAAAGGGGGTTTATAAAGATAAATACTGATTCAGCAAATTTTCTGAAGTCACCATTCTTTTTCTTATATAAAATAATAGAATTTTTGGTATTGAAAGTACGGTTTAAACTAATGACATATTCCAAAAACATTGTCTAAAACTGATTTGGATTCTTCGAATTACAAATGTGTTGGTTCATATTGCAAACTTTCGCCAATATAACAACAATCGCAATCATTGCAATCCACTTTGTAAACAGGATCAGTAATACGCTCAACAGGAGTTTTAGATTTTAAGGAAGTCAAAAGCGAGTTGAAAGTATTGTCAAAAGTAAAAACTAACAAAAACCTTCATTTAAAAACAAATTTTTTAGAAAGATTGAGAAACTACCTAAATATGGCAAAGAAAAGACTGCTTTGTATTTGTTTGTAAAAGATGCATCTGAATTAGTCAGAAGAGAACTTTTTGAAACATCATCAATGATATAATTATCAGACTGAAAATTAAAAAAAACTTATTTTTGAATGTTTTTAATTACATTGTTTATTAAATGTAAAGGGTAAGAATTATTAATAAGAAAGCTCTTATGCTTTCACACAACTTTAAACTTAAAACCAAAAAAATGTTTATATTGTTTAATTTCCATATGTTAATTAATAAAAAAAAAATATTGTTTTTCCTGGTATAGTATGTATCAAATTTTTACTTGCCATTTTATCTTTCAATATATAATATATTTTAAAATTTAATTTTTTTAAACTTTGTAGAAATTCTTTTAGATACCGTATAACAAAAATTTCAAAAAGGGTTGCTGAATGATGATGACACACAATCTGTATCAACACATACAAATTAATATTTTATTATTTATATTTTAGTTTTCTTTTATTTTGACGATTGGTTGAAAATCAATATTCAAGATATATACATATATATATATATATATATATATATATATATATATATATATATATGTATATATATATATATATGTGTGTGTATATATATGTATATATATATATATATATATATATATTATTTATGTATATACGCATTTAAAATATTTAATTACTATTCTTACCTAAAACTAGTCCTTTATCATGCATTGATTTCAGAACACTCACCAATTGATAAATAATAAATAATGATTTGTTATAACATGATCCCAAAATTGAGGGACTATATGTAACACAGTCTTGTAAATTATGTTCAATGTAAGAATTATGAACAAGAAATATAAATGATTTTGTTTCAATACCACATAATACTGGGTATAGATTGATGTTTGTTTCAAACATTTTAACATATTGGGATTGATCAACTTCTCCAGAATTTGCATTATCTTTAGTAATAATATGACAGCCATAAGTTCTAGTAATGACTTCTTTCAGGATATTGTCATAAGGTACAGGGTGAAATAATAAACTTTCTTTATGTCCGAAAGAATATTGATTATTGTATCTTTTGTGGGCAGCCTTCCATAGATTTTTGTGATTACTTTGTGAAACATAATGAAGAAGTTGACAATAAGACAATGGAGGCTCTTGGCAAGTATTGGCATTAATCACATTGCATCGGGGTAATGGTATCACTTGACTTGGTTGCTTTAAAAATACCTGAAACAAAGTAATATCATATGATCTGTAGCATTAATAAAAATGGTACTAAATAAGACATAATTTTATTTTATCACTTAATTACAATTATATATTTTTTATGTGTTCGGATAATGAAATGATGCCTCTTTTATACATATAGAGTATAGAGCTATCTATTTTATCCTGTTTTACGTTTTTATTAATCTCGATTTGAATACGTTCTATAAACACAATTTTAAATTAAAAATATCTGTAGTAGATAATTCATCTATTTATGAAACTGTATGATTGTTTATAGTTAAGCAATGAAAATGATTTGATATATGAAATAATAGTTTCTGTATCATAGATTACGAATAATAACTTTTATTCCACACTTTTAGCATTAATATAATTCTTATCAGTTTTATTTAATTTTAGTTGTTTTCCATTGAATGAAGGCTTTAGTACATAATAAAGTTATGTACAAAAATTGAAAATTATCATACAGAATAAAATCAAAAAAACTCATGTCATACATATTGGAGGAGTTCCAATCCGACTTCCCTAAACTGGCATTGTCTGTACATAAAACGTAAATCATCTGTTACTGCATTTTTGCTTTGGAAAAGAAGCTGTCGCTTTCTCGTCTCACAGGCAGTTTTATGACCTTTTAGGTGTACGTTTTTTTCCAGAAAATACAAAAATATTACTTCAAAGATAAAGAACAATGAAATTGTGTTCAAGTGTGAATAGTTCCAATGTATAATTTATAGAATAGTAAGGGGTCATATTTCTAACTACGACAATCTTTGGCCGTGAATGACGGCAATCAGGAATATACATACCGAAAAATACACGAAACAAAATACATTTAATCTGTTTTTTTCATAGCCTGAAATAACAATACTTGTGTAAAATATATCAGTGACGTCAATAGTATTTAGGCAGCAAAAAATACATAGTATTAAACTTTTACATTTACACAATTATATAATTGTGTAAAAGAAATAATATGCGAATTGAACTACCCAATATAATACTAATTCTCGAATGAAAATAGCAAAAGAAAAAATTAGAAAGCAGAAGTATTATTATTTAGTGTATTACATATTTATTTTATTTTATTTATATAGTTGTTTATAAGCAAGCTGTAATCAATAATAATAAATATTATTTTAGACTCCCAACAGGATTATTCCTAAGTAAAGTAAAATTAAACTAGTTGAAATTAGGGCTTACAATACCGGAATTCCATGATTCCGAATACCAGGATCCCGGACGATTTTTGTCCGGTATTGATACAAAAATACCGGTATTTAGAGATTACCAGTATTTTGTTAAAAATTGAACTTATGCAATACACATATGCAGTTCACTAAACTGTGTATGTGTATTGCCGATTCGGCTCAGACTAGTGTGACACATCGACGATATCGGTTAAATAAAGCGATTTTTTATATATTATATACGATCTAATGAATAGAACCCATTTATAAAAATTATCAGTCGTCCACGTGCATTGTCCTCATATCTAATTCGTTATCAATGATTTTTAAACAAAATATAAATATAAAGTCAAATCATCGAGAAATAAATAGTTTGATAATCAATGATAATATTGGTCTCGGTGGTGGATGACCTCTTTTTTATGAGTACATTGGAAATTCTTAGAAATCGTTCATATAGAATTATTTAATTTATTTATTGGGCAATCAGACAATACAATAATGATTGTTTGATTATAACCTACATACACTATAAGTACTAATTCATATTGTCCAATAATTTTCTTTATGGCAATTGTGCCGACAAATGTAGAATGAGAAAAAATGTTTTCAGCTTGTTATATTTGTACTAGAATTCGGTCCTCACTTGAAGATTAAACAATTGATAGTTTATATATTTTAAAACCATATTTAAGCCTATTATATGTAAAATGTAATATAGAAGTTAATATATAATTGTTTACTTGCGCGTTTTTGTATAATCTACTACTATTTTCAATGTATTAAAATAATTAATATGTACTAATTTTAGGACAATAATAATGTTAATAAGTCAATATAACAACTGCGGTAAATTAATATATTATTAGTAAATTTTTCATTGACAATACCGGTATTACAAATTTCAAATATCGAATACCGGTATTCAGATATTAGTACGGTATTGGAAGCCCTACTTGAAATCTAAAAACTAGTACCTTTATATAAACTCTGGCCCAACTTTCAAATTTAATATCATCATCCTTCCAGTTGGAAACTCCAGTATAAATTTGGTTGTCTATTAATTCATTATTAGCTAAAGATTTAATCCATGATTTGTGAACTAAGCATAATAATTTATCTGCTTTAATTAATTTTATTTGGTTTTGGTGCACTCCGAGTTCTTGGCTGATATTTTCTACATTCATTTTTAACAACTATGGTAATATTATAATAATTGTGCAATATCGTGCCAAAAATATTTTCAGCCAAATAAAACTTTAAGTGTACTTTACTGTGCTACATAATTTTAATTGTTTACTCTAGCGAACTTTGGCATTACTTTATTTACATCGTTTGTGATATGTCAAATTTTGACATTTTCTCTGTATGTTTTCTTTTGCTAAAGACAGAGATAGTACGGGATAGGACACCCGATATAAATTATTGTTTTGAAACAAACATTCGCAGAGGGAGCAACATAGAACTTAATAAAATATTAATTTAGTTTGAAATGTGTTTGATTTTATGATAAATGAATAATATAGATCATTATACTTGTTTATCTATGATATAGTTATAGATAATGGATAAATAAGCATGAATAAACACTTAAAATTCTATGAACATAAGATCACTAAGACTGATTAACTTTCCGTACCGTACTTAAAAATCTTGGTACGGAACCCAACAAAATTTACTCAAAATGTGTACACATTATTAAAATCTCTATAAAATAAAATATCTGATAATTTGATGTACATATTCCAATAAACATTTTTAACCGCCAAATGACATTTTCTTAACTTATTTTTATTAAGAGTCCATAACCGCTGGACTTGCCTTCCTAAAAATTTAATCAGTTGTCAATACAAGTAAATTCTTTTTCGAATTATTAAAATCGGACGCTTCGTTTTCTTAAAAACTGAGTTACCGTTTTTTGGCACTTTTTGCCCCGTATCTTCGGAACGGCTAGACCTGCCTTCGCCAGAAACTAATCAGCACGTCTCCTTATCAATACGAATCGAATGTTTTTTAAATTATTCAAATCGGTTAATCCGTGTTCTCGAAATTGTCGACGAAAATTTGTATCCGCGCGCACACGTACGCATCCATTTTTTTCTAATAATAAGGTATGCCAAAATATTCAGAAACCTTTGAAACGTGAAGATATATAAAAACTTTCATTTTCGATTTTTTTACGATTACTATAAAAAATAAGAAACTGATCAAAAAGGTTGTTTGTACTGATCATAAACATAAACTAATTACTTCCAAATTCTTTTAGTTTTAGGCCAAATTTTGTATCATTCTAGAAAGTTCCAGGAATTGTTAGAAATTCAAAAAAAATGCAAATAAACTTTACCAATTTTACCAATAAGCATATTTATAACTGGTTTTTATTATCAAAATATTTTACATTTTTCTGCAAATACCAAATAAACCGTTTATTTTATTTAACTCTTGTCAACCCTAGTCCTTATATCGATTATTATCAAATATAATCGGAAAAAAGGTTTTGAGAAAATGCCGACGAAATGTCAAATTTTGGTCCACATACACACTGGGATTCCAAATTTGAGGTCAAACGATTTACAATGCTCACGTCCCCAAGGGTTTGAAAGGGCAAACACGTATAGGCTAAATTATATCGTTCAAATGTATCATATTGAAGGGAACTGGCAATGACCAGTTATCCTTTTCGAGCAATTATATACTTGTCTAAAGTAAAAACTTATATTTTATATAGATTGCTATGAATTTCTGGTTAAAATTAAATTTTCAGGAAGTTAATGTACTTAAGATACATATATTTGTATTAATAAAATTGTCTTCAAATTTATCAGAAATTTGATATCTAGAAATCAACAAAAAAAGTTGATTTTTCAAACTTGTATTATTTTTGATTAACTAACTTAATTGGTTAAAAAATGTGTATGTGAAAGAATTCATAAGTACAAATGGTCGGAAGTCAAAGTTTCTCACAAATTACTAAATGATACACATTGAAAATAAAACAATAATTTCTGGGAAAGTAAAATTTATTTGAAATTGTTAGTCAGAACATAAGTTTTATATAAAATCAGCAACCAAATTTTTGGTTACGGACTTTGCATAATTTATAGAAAAAATGATACAAATATAAACAAGTATGTATATAATATAAAAATATAAAAACAGGAATGTCTAACCCTAGTGTTAAAATTGCAATTTTAGTGAAAAGATTTAATTAAAATTTACTATTTCAAATTAATTTAGATGAAAGCCTGTAATTCAAAATTTATGTAGTAAAATGGCACAATCAAACAATGTGCATAAGACATTGATCGAGATAAATATAAAGACTAAAGAAGACTAAAACCAAATTAGCAGATTAAATTTGATAAAAAATAGATAAGTTGATGCTTTAGAAATGATTGCAGAAATGCCAAAATATATGGTGCCAATAGCTAATCAAAAATTGCCATATTTTTTAAGAACTAATTTTTATAAAGTGATACTAACTCAAAGATATTCATGACACAAACAAAATGAACCAATACCTATATCCTTGGTGCTACTGCTGATTTCTAGAACTCTCTTTCAGGCACATACATTTGGTCAAGCATTTGATCTGCAAATAAAAATATTTATGAAGCCCAAGAATTTCAAACATAATTTATAAATACAAGCATAAAAAATCAGACAAATGCCTTCTTAAGTCGTTCAAGAGTTACCTTCAGGAGAATGGTATAGTTGACATCACATTTCAAAAATAATAAAGGTAAAAAATAATCCAGTTTCATAATTTACCTTAAATCTGACCAGTCCTCCAGGCACCAGTAAGGTTCTCGCATCTGTAAACCAACAAATGCACTAAGTAAATTTTTAGTGAATAGAAATGAGTATGCAGAACATGTGTAAATAAATAATCAGACAAATGCCTTCTTAATTCGTTCAAAAGATATACCTCAGTAATTGGTATAGTTTTCTTCATTTAGGTATATTGAAAATTATAATTTTTAATAAATGGAAAGTTCACCTTAACAGCCAGCCAGAGCCTGCGTGAGGAAGAAACCTAAAACAAGAAGAAAAATGTTGTCAATACCTTGGATATTATAAAATTTATTATCAAATAAGAGAAATCAGACAAATGCCTTCTTTAAGTCGTTCATGAGATATACTTCAGGAACATGGTATAGCTGTCATCATATTAGTTAAGAGTCTATATTCAATCACATATTTTATTATTAAGAACTTAAGGTAGCAATACCATTTGCATCAATAGAAAATATTTAAAAATCAATAGAATTAATTGCTAAAACAAACAAAATTGAAGTTGAAAATTCAATCAAAATTAAACAAAAAAGATTGAATTACTGTTATAGTTTTTAACATGGCATTGTACTGGTCAAGAAGTAGTCAAAAATCCAAGGACCCTTGAATTTTATTAATTTATAATTAAAATTAAACTAAATATTAAGAGCATTATAAATCTGCTTTGCAAATGATTGAAAATAAAATTAAGATTACAATTAAATGTAGGGTAATCAATCAAAGCTCACCTTCAGTATTGCAAAATATTTAAAATAATCCATCAGATAGCATTGTTAATTTATTATCTGCATCCAAACTAATCTGCAAATAAAATATTATGGTTAATATTAAGAGTGCTATTCAAATGCATATGACATAGATATAAATTTGTATATCAGACAAATGCCTTCTACAATCGTTCAAAAGATGTACCTCAGTTATATGGTATAGTTGTCATCATGAAGAATAACTCAAGAATTACATAAAAATATAACAATTTAAATTTTTTTTAATTTATTTATAGTATCAATATTTAGAAAAAAATTATGTTTATTTCTTGTACAAGTCTAAAAATGTTTGGCAAAGTCCAAAATTTGAGCTCAAACATAGATTAACACAATATCATAAGGAAATTTATGGAACCATATTTAAATGTAAGGTAATTAATCAAAGCTCACCTTCAGGATTGCAGAATTTGTCTAATCCACATCAGACACCATTGTTTTTATTATCATTTATTTAATTTATTATCAGAGGATAATGTCTGCATCCAACCTAATCTGCAAATAAAATATTTTGGTTAAAATAGAGTACTATTCAAATGCATATGGCTTAAATATAAATTTGTATATCAGACAAATGCCTTCTACAATCGTTCAAAAGATGTACCTCAGTTATATGGTATAGTTGTCATCATGAAGAATAACTCAAGAATTACATTAAAAATATAACAACTTAATTTTTTTTTATTTATTTATGGTATCATTAAGATTCAGAAAAAAAATTAATATATTTCTTGTACATACTTGTCTAAAAATGATTGGTAAAGTTAAGAGAAAAATGTGAGCCCAAAGATAGATTGCAAAAATATGGAAGTATGTATGTAATAAAATTTATTAATTTTACAAGCCGTCAGTATAATGATAATATAATAAGGCTCAAGTGAATATTTTGCAGATTTAATATAATTTAACTATTGTTACTTATTCATTTATTATTTAATTTCTTTACTATAAACTTGTTTCTATTTAGTTAATTTTAATTATTTTTAAATAAATAGTTAAAAGTATTTAAGAATTTAATAAGTTGTAAGGCTTTTACAACACTTACAATATAATTTATTTTGATTACTAAATTTTAGGTTATTTTATAATATTAACAAATTTATATGTGTCTTATTTATAATTAACATTATTATTATTTTTTTAAACAAATTGATAAGTACTATTACAATATAAGTAATTTTTACAATATAAGTATGAAATAAAATATGGAAGTATGTAAAGCAAAAGTAAAGTTTAAAGTAAAAGTTAATTGATGATGTGAAAGCAATAAATTATTTGAAATGGAAAATAACTGGATGGCTTAATGAAACCTTACGTAACTTATCTTGAAGTAAGTAAATTACCAAATTTACTTGATTCTCAAAACTGTCTAACTTAAAAAGAATTTAATTTTAAGAAGCCCTGATGACTGGTAAGGTATACAATCCCCATATAAAATAAAAATGACCAAGACAAATAAAATTATTAAAATAAAACAAAGTACCAAAACAAATATATGAAACTTTAAAAATTCATTACTTTATTAAACTAGAGAAGACTGGGTACAGATGAGAACTATACTGATTTTGAGATAGGGTCCAAATGGAGAAAGATGAAGTGTGTTTGTTCGAACAAGTTTACATTGTTGCATTGAGTCAGCGCAGCGCCCTAAGAAGCGCTGATAACTGGTAAGGTATACAATCACCATATAAAATAAAAATGACCAAGACGGATAAAATTATTAAAATAAAGCAAAGTACCAGACC